CAGCTGCCTCCTGCAGGCCCCCTGCCGAGGATCGAGCCCGAAACCTGACCCGGAGTTAAACCGTCATCTCCAGGATCATAGGCCGATGCTCACTGCTGAGCCACGCCGGTCGGGCTAGTTCTTAATTATTTAAAAAATTTAAAAATATTTTTAAAGGAGCCCTGGCATAAGAGATACACAGTGAATCCCTGGAATACCAAGGAGAGGCTTTCTACAGTGGCAATAGCAGCAGGCCAATCAGACAGCCTGTCACTAAGCCGAGCGATGAAGCCTGTCACCGTGCAGGAAGGCCCATCGGAGCAGCTTCACTAACCGTTTGGACCAACACACATTTGTAACCTAAACGTGTCCTTTATGAAAGAGCAGCCATCACCTCAGACGCTGAGGTCAGTGAGATGACTGCTTTACACGCGGCGCTGGCTTCAGCCTTGGGCCCCTTTGTGATCAGAACGGAATCTGATCCATGTGATATGTTAGGACCTTACACAGGAACGACCAAACCTGAGCTAGCTTTTTAAATGGACCGGCAGCTTATTTCCCTAAGTATGTGCCCATTTAAATGCTTGTAAAGCTTATCTGGAGCTCAAGCCTATTGCTGGATTCCAGGCACCACTCTGGATGTTTATGTGGAAACAGGAATCTCTGCTCCTGCTGCAAACTTTCCACCCCAGTGTCTGGCAGGACAACTGTGTCCACAGTAATGCGCTGTGGGGACTTTACAAGACAGCCGTGTAATAAGTTCTTTATATTGGCAAGAACCACTGAGGACTTAAAAAAAGCACCATTTCTCCTTTTACAGAGAAGGAAACCTAGAGAGAAATCAGTGCAGTTCGCCAGGGCCCCGTGAATCAGGAGAGGGTTAGAACGAGCACTCTGCCCTTGAATCCTGCCAGTCCAAGAGCAGCGCTGTTTTCCATCGCTTAATTAAATCTCATCTTTTCCAGTTATTTCATGAAATGATTTTTAAGCGTAGCAAACCACAAAAATAGGCTCCAGGGAGTAGGTGGAGGGTGAAATAACACCAGCAGCTCAAGAGGAGCACGACTACCCCCAACGGCCAATTTTCTCGCCCATTTGTCAGCCCGTGTTCTGCCTACACTCAGCCTTGCGGAGAACCTGGAAGGCCACCTTCCACGTCACGCTCCATGTCACAGGTCACTTGGCTTCCCTGACATCTGGTCTCAGGGCTGCTACTTGTTTTCAGGCAAGAAAAAAACGTTTCCAAGCCACCTTTGTTTTCTGCTAAATTGGCAATCTCTTCAAATCGCCCACCCTAACTCGTGCCATTCATCTAAACACACATACAAATACCCTTCTAACCTTTACCAACCTGTTAGTATTACGTTTGTAACTTTAAATTAGGAGATCTCCCCAAGCCAAGTGTAAACAATGAAATTGCCTCCATATGGTAGCGGGGAGTTAACTGCTAATTCTTTTGAGAGAGTTTAGAATAAGCAATATGATATATGCTGGTAGAAAATCGTTTTAATAGAAACGGTGGTACAGGGACACCCGTCTGTGAAGCAGTTAATCAACCAGCCAAGGTCTCCGCGCTTCTGTTATAAATCAAGTCTCCGCCGCACAGCTGTTACCGCATCTCCAATGGGGTTTTCAATAGCTGTCCAAGCCGTTAGCTCTCACAGACAAATTTCTATGAAAAGTTTCCAAATTTGGGGCTAGAACTGTGGAATTACCTAGATTGCGTACTTAATAAATATACTCCTTCTATTACAGTGAATTGAGCCAAGTGTATTGATTCTGTTTTGTTCCAGCTCTTGGGAAATTGTAGGGGCCTCAGGTCCTGCTGTGAACCCTGAAGAGCATAACGGGATTTGAAAGGCTCTAAAAATACCCGAGGTTGGCCTCGGCTCCCTTGGAGGGCGATGATTCAATTACAAGTGTCAGAATTTGATGCCTAATTTTTCGGGATCTGACAGCCAAAGTAAATCCTGCCAGGATCCCCTTATCTTCACTATGCTTCTCTTTGAAGTACTGAAAGAAGATTTCATAATCTTTGCAATTTAGCTCTAGGATTTCTGTCGGTAGCTGCAGAACGAGCTGGCTGGGCCTTTCTAAAGCTGCTTATAACTGTTATTTGACCAAGCACGTTTTTAAGTCGCTACGGAGGGCAGAGAGGCTGAGCTGTAGTGGTTAGGGGAGAACACAGTGGACTCTACGCCTCGCACCATAAACCAGGGGAGGCCTTTCAGTGCATGAGGCGTCCATGGGACCTTAACCAGGGGCTCGTTTGTTGCTATAAAGAAGCTCAGACCCGAAAGCTGTGCATTCATTCGAGTGACAGCTCGGAAGGGTACTAGCCCTGCCTCCCCGGGGCTGACTGTTTCCTTTCTGACGAAGGCAGAGATTCGGGGAGACCAAGGTGAGCACGACAGTCAAGATCAGCAGCGATGCGGCGCCACCACAAGAGCTCGGACGATGCAGCGGCCGAGCCACCCAGCCCGGGCTGCGGCCAGGTGTTTGAAAATTACTTTGTCTATACAATGAGTCAACAACTATGGTCGGGATGAAAAGTTACGTAAAATAACTTTTATCAGCTGCAGTGCCAAGATATTTTTAACACTATCATCTTCCTAATGAAGAGAGAAATCTGTGTTAGATTACACACTTCCATTTGGGTTTTCTGCCCATTTACCAAGTGCCTGCCACAGACCAGCTAGTGAGTAAATGGTGCTGAGCCCGAGACAGGCCCCGTGGCCATGCAGCCAACCGGTTTCTTAGGGAGGCGGAAACTGCGCGGCGACCTTAAGGCAAAAACATTACTGGTTTCAAACAGAAATACGTCTCGGGGTGCTGAGTGCGAGCTGGGAGATAATAACAGGGTGCGCGTCCTGGAAGAGAGGTTTCTTAAGCTCCTTCTGTTATCTTAAAAATACCAAACCAACCACAGCAACCTTCTGTTGACAGCTCAGCGTCATAACCACGCATTAGGTGCCATGCTACGTGCCATCTCCTCTCACACTGAACCTGCATAAAGTGAGGCATTTCTATGCAAAGATTTTTAAAACATTCCAAGTTATGGAAAACTGAGGTCACTTAATGTTAAAATCATGTCCCAATATTTGAAGTTATCATAACTTGGGATACAGCAGTAATTTGCACTTTAAGTATATGCAGTTTATTGTATGTTAATTATATCTCAATAAAGCTATTTGGGGGAAGAAAACCCTCTGTGGCCAGCGTGGCTCCGTGGTCAGAGGGTCTCGAGTCCGACTCCCAGGCAAGGGCATGTGCCTGGGTTGCGGGTCCCGTCAGGTCTCATCCCTGCTCCCGCTGGGGTGCGTGTGGGAGGCAAGCGGTTGGCGTGTCTGTCACACTGATGCTTCTCTCCCCCCCTCACCCCTCCCTTCCACTCTTTCTAAAATCAATGGAAAAAATATCCTCACTCCTCAGGTGACGATTAATAAATAAAATAATGAAATAAAATAAAATAAAATAGATTAACTTCCCATTATTGACATTCAAAATAAAAAAGGCAAAAACAGTACTGGTTTCAAACAGAAATGATACTCAGGCCCCTGCCCCGTGAGAGGCCTCAACTCGCCTCGTCTCCCTTCAGGACTTCGGTGCCATCAAGCTCCCGGGCCTGGTCCGTCTTCGCGGACACCTCCCGCTCCAGGCTGGCTAGCTTCTCCTTTGTCTCCTGGAGTTCCTCCGCTTTGGCTTCTTTTTTACGAGAAATGATGGACGCCTAATAGAGGATTAAGTATAAATGTAAAATAAAACATCTACCATCAACGTTCTATTAAACTGTGAAACCACCTATTTCTTAGAGTTTACCGAGCTAAAATTTCAATGGGAGCACGCCCACTAGGGTGGCTGTGGTAAAAAAGACAGACGGCAGCAAGTGCTGGCGAGGAAGCGGACACACCAGGACCTTCACGCAGCGTTGGTGGGAATGTCCGACGGCACAGCCGCTTCGGAAAGCAGTCTGGCATTTCCTCAGAGTGTTAAACGCAGAATTATCACGTGAGCCCGCAGTGCCTCTCCCAGGAATATACCCAAGAGGAAGGAAAACACATTTCCACACAAAAACCTGTACGGAAACGTTCACGGCTGCATTATTTATAATAGCCAGGAAGTGGGGAAACCAGATGCCCATCGACTGAGGGGTGAACCGCGTGTGACGAGGCCCACGCGATGGAATTCTCCCGGTGGCAAAAGGGGCCAGGCGGAGGCACGGCCACAACGCGGGCGGCCGTGAGGGCCCGCAGGGCGCACGGCACGCTCTGCAACTACTCTCCGAGAGCCTTTATTTTTAGCGATGCACCCTGAAGTGCTTATAGATGAGGTGATACGCAGCCCGCTGGGCTGGGGCTACGGGCGGCACCGGGAGCCGCGACGGCCGTGCCTCAGGGGCACCGGAGCGTTTGCTGAACTGTCTCCTCTACCCTGGCGCACGGCTGACACTTTCCATTATAAAAAGGTCTTTAAAAATCCCACCACCTGTGAGTAACGCCCTGCTGCGAGGCTCAGTGTTTCTGAGCTCACAGGGCGCTCTGAACGCCTGCCTGGGCTCCCCCCGAGCAGCCACGGCCTCCACCCGCACCCCTGGTCTGGACGCACAGCAGCCCACACGCCCTCAGCACCGACCGGTTCAGAGGAAGCGACCAGGACTTAGCACCGAAATATAATTACTCCTGTTCTTGCAAACTAACTTGAAGCTCGAAACAGCACATTGCCTTTAATTCCTTACAGAGTATAAACAGCATAGTATGCATTTATTTACCACGTAAGGCGGCCTTTCATTTAAGCCACCGGAGCCCACACCGGCAGATGCGAGCTCCCGCGGCCCTCGGCACAGCTGGCGGGCGCAGGGGGCCGAGCGTTATCGGGGGCGCTGCGCCTCAAACCGCAGCGCGCGTCCGTTGTGGCTTTTCCCTGCCCCCGCCACGGTCCGGAGGCGGGCAACGGCAACGGCAGGACCTGCGCCTCCGCCCCGTCAGCGCCGCGGCCAGTCCCGAGGGCGCCCGGAGCTCCGGGGCTCTTACCTGCTGTCTGTACAGGGACAGCTTGCCCTCCATGGGCTCGTTTCTCAACATTTTCTTTTCGATCAGCTGATTGATCTGTGCGTTTACTTCATTTATCTAAAACAGTACGAACAGAAAAGGTTAAACGTCTCCCTGCGATTGCGTAAAGCAAGGCCGCCTGGCCAAGCCGAGCTTCGGGTTCGCAGTTCCGTCCTCGGTGACCTGGTGGAGGAAGGTCCCGCTCGAGTCCCGAGTGGGCCGTCTGATGGCTCTGGGACATAACTGCCCCTTCATCGCTCATGGTAAACACTCACACAATAGTATTACTTATGTGGATTAAACCATCATGTCTAAATTACCCTGAGGCACTCAGCGTGAAACATTTACACGTTTTTATCAAAAAGGCAATTTCTTCAAATCCAAAATTATCCCCTCGCCTAGGCGTGACTTTCGAGTCACTGTCACGATAAAGCAAGTCCAGACGGACATTCCGTGGGGACTTACGTAAGGAATTCACGGACCCGGCTGAGCGCTGACGTGGAAGACATCCAAACCCCCCTGCTCCAGTCGTCAGTGGTCATTAATCTAACCCTTTCCCCATGCAATATAGTCCCTCAACAAATAAAATAGAAAACTGCGTGGCTTTTAGTAGACCTGTCCTTTGAAAAGACTAGAGTTATCCTGTCAATTCTACGGCATTAAATTCGAGCAAAACCTGACTTGGACATCTAATTTCTGTAAGTAAGTTAAGAGAATAAAATGACCAGGGTTGTGTTTTTACTTGTGGAAGCTACTAAGCACATTAAAGGGTCAGCACATCAAAGCTGCTTAATTTTCATGATATTTGTTATTTTTTAAAAACACACAGCTGATTAGTGTTTTGTTTCTAGGGAGCAAAAGTGCTATAACATGATACCAGGTTTCAAGGAACATTACGAGAAAGCTTAGTAATTCCAAAGCTGGCATAAAAGGCTACTAAATACATTAGCTTTAAATATAAAATTGCTATAATAATATTCCTGGAAATAAAAATAATATTTAAAATCTGCCACCTAGTTACTATAAATGTTCTACTTTAGCCAATTATATATTATGAAGACATGGCCCTGTGCGTCTAACCTCCGCACTAACTTTATGTACAAGTCACTGAGCTCCCTGATCAGCCGACCAGGTTTTCCCAGCACCGCGCACCCGGAGCAACAGCATCACAGGCTCGAATCCCGGGGAGGGCAGCTCCTCGCAGGCCATCGGCCCCTCGCACAGGCTGACAGGCCACGAGCGGAACGCGAGAGGGAGCAGGTCACATGGTTTCCTTGGAAACTGTGAAAAGATGACCGTCACTTACTTTGGATTCCAGCTCAAGAAGGTCAGAGGGGCCCATCGCAGGCTCTGACACCACTTTCTGTAAGAAGTGCAGTTCCTTCCTCTTGTTCTCTAATTCTTTAGGGAACTTTTCCGTCACCATATATGAATTAAACTTCATCTCCTCCTCTAGTCTCTTCAGTAAACCTTTGAAAATAAAATGAATGACCGTTCAGCCAAGGGAACAGGTAAGCGACACTCTTACACTTTAAAATACAAGGCCTGTGCAGGGGGCACACCTGTCAAAACGCCTGCGCCTGCCTGCGTAGCGCCCACTGCGCCCGCCTGTGTAGCGCCACGTCTGCGTCTAACGTCAAGCACAGACCACACGGGGCCGGCCGCCGAGGCCTTCTGATGGTAATTAGAATGATAACGAAAAAGGACCATTTCCATAGAAGAAATGCTGAAATATTTACAGGAAAAGTAACATCATGATCTTTCCAAATTACCACCTAAGACCTGGCCGGTCTGCATATGCCAAGGTTGCGGGTTCGATCCCGGTCAGGGTGCATTCGAGAACCAACCAGTAACGCATAAATAAGCGGGACAAGTCGATGCCTCTCTGTCTCTCTCCCCCTTCCTCTGTCTCTCTAAAAACCAATTAACACCCCCCCAAATTACCAACTAATTCTTTTATACTCCATAATATGCAAAAATAACATTTGTCAAAAAAAAAAAAAAGCCAGAAGTAGCATGGAGCATACAGAGAGTAATGTCGAGAGGACCGGGTGCAGCAGGAGGGCCGCTCTGCAGAGCGCAGGCTTTCTGGCTGCTTCGCTGCACATCTGAAGCTGGCACCGAATGGTACTGAATGCAAACCGTGATCGGGAAGGAAAAGGTAAGAAAAGAGCCAGATACATTGTCGGGTCACATTTTGCATTCTAAGTACAAACCCAAGAGCCAAACGTCAGCACACGTGACATCCGGGTTCTCCCTTCTCTCTGCGGCCATTCATTCTTTTTCTTCTGCAACATGCCTGGGGCAATTTATAGCCCCATCTACTCCCGCACAAGTGGTGATACGTTATGGTCTGTCAGCTTTGCAGCCACGGGGGCATCGCTGAAAGCGCACATTAAAACCCGAGAAAGAAAGTATCTACATTCATGAATGTTTTCAGTTTTCCATGTTTGGTAGTTTTGATTTTGTAAAGTATCAGTTTACAGTTAAGGGGCGACTTAAATTACATTTTTAAGATTTAATAGTTTTCTTATTTTGGCAGAGCGCACAAATATACACACACAGATCCTCAGTGAATTATGGTTTTGTTATAAATTCCCAGCCCGGAGAGCTTTTAAAAGTTTGTCTCAGGTCTTTCCATTACACAGTTACAAACGCTGGCTTGAATGTTTAAAACATTGGATTTCCGGTGTAAGTAACCTACCCACGTAGACTGCATAATAAACCTGACCTAAAACCTTAAAAGCATTTTTAGCTCTGTTGTGTTAACCATATATTGACATGTAAAAACTTATTAATGGCACATTCACGAGTTTTCCATCCCTACAATTTCCCCCCATTTTAGGGACCGGGAAAGAGAGGGAAGAGCCAGTGCTGAGTGAATCACGCTATAGTTCTGCAGTCATTGCCACGTGGTTTCTGATTAAACCTACTTCCTGCCTCTCGGGCTATCAGAGGATTAGTTTTTCTGTCTTCAGGCTCTTACATATACTGCATGTAATCCGAGATGTGAGGAATCAAAGTCTGAAACCTTTTAAAAGATCTAAAATTCTTAAATATTATTTTCCCTATGTAAAAAAAAAGTTTCTGATTCTAGAAAACACAAGCGAACCTACAGTGACAGGAAGCAGAGCGAGGGCCGATGACAGGTCCGCACCAGGCCCCGTCCGTCACCCAGGGAAGCGGCGCCTGGAGCCGAGGCCGCGTGCTGACAGCTCCCGTTAGTTGGCTGCTTTAAGGACGGCTGCTGACTTAAACTCATATTCTCTGATCCCTGTGTCGTCGGACAATTCCCACTTACTTTCGGGCCGGGCGTCCGCGGCCGCGTGGCGCATGCTTTTCAGCTGGTTCTGGACTCTCTGCAGCCTCTGTGCTGCGTGGAACAGCTTGAAAAGGGAATCGGACCCGTTACTTGCTTAGGCGGCTGAAACCTGCCGCTCAGAGAGACAATGAAAATTACAAGTATCCCATAATTCCCGTGATCTAAATGGAACAAATAATCAGAACGAAGAAAACTGCTGTTAAATCCCAAGTGTAAATGGTTCCCTCAATACCCTTTCATGTAAAACTGAAAAAAGAAAAAAAAAAGAGCTTTCAAACACCAAAAAGAAGTTATTTGAATTTGGTGGTTAAGAAAAAGTATTTGTTAAAGAAATATATATACCCAGCCTTTCTTGTCATAACATGGTTTTCTTAACTTTAAGGACTGCAAGCATCCTCACAAATGAGGTCTCGGGAGCTGACGCCCAGTGACCAGGCGCCGGGCACCGCCTGCCGCCCGGCGAACAGCTGGGAGCCCAGCCAGGTCTGAGCGAACCGCGCCCCTCGACGGCCAGTTAGAAGGAAATGCAGCTGATCTGAACTAGATTTTACTGTAGAAAAGTCTACTCCGTTTTAATAATAACTTTTAACAAAATAAAACTAATGTTTTTCTGGCCAAATTCTTTTTTCTTTAAGGCAAAGTCTAAAAATGTGGGTTACGGGTGTTCCGGAGCCCCCGCGTGATCTGCTGACTTGCACGGGGCAGAGCGCAGGGGATGCGGTGACCGGCGGGGCGGAGAGGATGTTATCACAGCCCCAGGTCTCTAGACGCCCCGGAGACGCCAGGAGCCTTGTCAACAGCTAGCTAAGGTTACAGGGAGTGCCCGCGACGCCGGCGCCGGTCAGCGCAGGCCGCGGGGC